CGAACCACTGAGCTGTCCCACTGTTCCCACCACTGTCCCCACTGTCCCTACCACTGTCCCCGCTGTACCTCTTTCCCATTGTCCCACCGCCGTCCTCGCCACCGCCTTCACCACTGTCCCCACCACCACTGTACCCTCCACTATCCTACTGTTTCCACCACATTCCCACTGTCCCCACATCACTGTCCCCACCACCACCGTCCCCACCACTGTCCCACTGTTCCCACCATTGTCCTCACCATTGTCCTCACCACTACCGTCCCCACCACTGTCCCACTGTCCCCACCACTGTCCCGCTGTCCCCTCACCACTGTCCCCACCACCACCGTCCCCACCACTGTCCGCCCCCCCCCTCGGTTTTCCAGGGGGGGGGGTTCGAAACGGTAGTGACCCCCCCCGTTTTTCGAGCTCGAGGGGGGGGGGGGGGCGGTTCGAACCGGTAGTGACCCCCCCACTTTTCATGATGAGCTGGGGGGGGGGGGAGGGGTTCGAACCGGTAGTGACCCCCCCCGGTTTTCCGGAGGGGGGGGGGGGGAGGGGTTCGAACCGGTAGTGACCCCCCTGGTTTTCCGCTAGCAGCGGTAGAACACGCTCTTTCTAAGATGGGGTTCTTGTTATTACTCGGACGCCGCCGACTCCAGAGAGAACGCACATACTCATACACAGACTTACTCATATTCAGACCTACTCATAGTCATACCTTCTCATTGTCTGACTTACTCAACACACAACATGCAGGCCGACTCATGCTCAGACTTACTCATGCTGGGACTCCTTCGTACCCAGACTTACTCATACCCAAACTCGTTCCCAGACCTGCTCATACACAGACATACTCATACTCAAACCTACACATACTCAGACCTTCTCCTAGTCGGAGTTACTCAACGCACGGACTGATACCTACTCATACTCAGACCCAGTCATACTCAAGCTCGCAAGGGGGGCCGCCAGGGGTGTTTTCACGGGCCCGTTCGCTGCCAGTTTGCTGGGATGTCTCAGGCGGTTTGCTTGTTTCCATGCCCAATATCCTTTGCTTTCAGAGCAGATTGTGAGGATGTCTCAGGCGGGGCGCTGGTTTCAGCACCCCTAAAGGGGAGCCGCCAGGGGTGTTTTCACGGGCCCGTTCGCGGCCAATTTGCGGGAATGTCTCAGGCGGTTTGCTCGTTTTCATGCTGCGGGGAAGGAGATGAGGCGTGCTGCTCCCTTGGGTCGTGCTCCGGCACGTACCCTCTGGGACGCACGGAGGAAGGAGTTGAGGCGTGCTGGTCCCTTGGGTCGTGCTCCGGCACGTACCCTCTGGGACGCGCGGAGGAAGGAGTCGAGGTGTGCTGGTCCCTTGGGTCGTGCTCCGGCACGTACCCTCTGCGACGGACGGAGGAAGAAGTCGAGGCGTGCTGGTCCCTTGGGTCGTGCTCCGGCACGTACCCTCTGGGACGCACGGAGCAGAGGAGACGCATACAGCAACGACGGGAGGGGACGACCTGGCAGCTGAGGAGGGGGAATGAATGGGAGGCGCATGTTCAATCATACTCAAAGCTCACTCTGACTCATACTCACTCACTCGCATTAGGATTCACTCGTCTTCGTCGGCCCTGTCGCCCACGTGGACGCGCTATTATAATCAAGCGCTCATGAACAGACGCTCACTATGGCATGACATAAAACATGAGATGCACATATGGGGAGCTCCACGAAGTGAGTAATTTCTACGGTATCATGTATTCTTACGTGCCCCACGCACCCCCCAGAAATGCAGACAACGCGATCTGGGCGTGGTAAAAAAAAGCTGGCTTGGGGCTCCCCCCCTTCGCGCGTTCAGCAACAATTCGCAGTAAAGAAGCAGAAGGCATGACCGCAGCAGTGGAAACTGGAAGCTGCAACTGGAACAGGGAGCTGCCATCCGCATCCTCGCAGCCCGGTGGCCCCGCAAGGGGACCGGCAGACTGTCCGCGCGAGGGGGGGAGCCGACAATCGGCTAAATTACCACGCCCTGGGCACGTTGTCTGAATCAGTGGGGGGGCGTGGGACATGCAACGATACACGAGATTCCACCCCCGCGACCACAACCCAACGCAAAATGCGCCACACCGGCGCCCCCGAGGCCACGATCCCGAGCAGGTTGCGCCACGCTCGCGTGCCCCAGGCCACGACCCATAGCAAATTACACCACACTCGTGCCCCCTGAGGCAGTATTCCTTGGTAAATTACGCAATCTTCGCGTCCCCGAGGCCATAAACCCCCGTTGCGCAAGATTCACGTCCCTGGGGCCAGAAACCATCGTAAATTATTCCATGCTCGCGCCCCCGAGGCCAGAAGCCCTCGCAACTATGACAGTATGTGCATCTCCGGGGCCATAGACCCTCGTAAATTCCGCAATGCTCGCCCCGTAATTTACCCTCGTACATTACGCAACGCTCGCGCCTCCGAAACTTAAACCCTCGTAAATTCAAGTTCATTCGCGTCCCCGAGGCCATCAGCCGTCGTAAATTACGCCGTATTCGCGTCCCCCAGGCCACAAACCGGCTCAAGCTAGACAATATTTGCGTCCCCGAGGCCATGAGCCCTTTGTACCTTCCACAAGACTCGCGCCCCCGAGGCCAGGATTCCTTGTAAATTACGTCGCGCTCGCGCCCCCGAGGCCTCAGTCCCTTACAACAGACGCCGAGGAGCCCGAAGACCGCCCCAGCCGCGCGATTTTGCCCACTCGAGCCTCAAGCAACCCCCAGTTTTTTCTAAGAGGGCTTCCAATGCACAGCATGCGGGGGCAAGTCCAAAATGCAACAGCGAATTCAACAATACCATCTGAATCTACATCTTTCTTGTCGATTACTTCTCGTCCTCGCATGAGGTTCCGACATTGCTCCAAGACGGCGCCCAGACCTCACGACGTAGCTCTTGAATGATCCATTATCCGAGAGAGAAAGAAGGCGGCAGGGGGCGAAGCCCTTGCGGATAAATCGCGAGAAAAGCTGAAGCGAGAGCGTGCTTCCTGAGTGTCGAGGGCGCGGCGTCCGAAACAAATGCGCAGGAGTCCGACGCGAGAGCGCGATTCGTGCATACACTTTGAACAAAATCTGCGCGAGAACGCGATGTTGGAGTGCATGATGGGGAAAAACCAGGCGAGAGTCGCTGTTGTTGTAAACCGCCGGGGGCCATGGGGCCCAGCTTGGTGATACCTCAGTTTCCCTTGCACAAGACAGGGTGCGAGCCCTGGGAGAAGCACTTTGATTGAAAAATGCAGCGGTTACCGCGCAGGGGATCAACAACACTGATTATCTTAAAATGAAAATTCAACAGCCACCAACAGCAACAGCAACAAGAACAACCATCACTTTAAGAATGTTCGCTCTTACCTGCTCGCGCGCCATTCAACACTTATATCCACAACCCTCGGTACCCGCCCTCTTCGTCTTCGATCGTACCGCCTTGGGGGTATATCTTTCTTACCTGCACAAATATTCAATGCAGCCCCTAAGGCAGGGGAAGAGAGGACGGATGAAAGGAAGGGACAAGGGAGAGGGAGGAGGATGGAGAACGAGAGAGTAGCAGGCGGGGGCCAGATCGGGCGGGTAGGCCCTAACGGGCGGGTCGGGAAGGCGGGCCAAGGCGGCCAGGTCGAGCAGGCGGGTTGCTGAAGCGTGCGTCCTGAATGAATCGCGAGCAAGTCTCGAGCAATAGCGCGACTCCCAGATAAATCGCTAGAGAAGCTGACGCGAGAGCGTGATTCCTGAGTGTCGAAGGCGCGGCGTCTGAGTTAATTGCGAGGAAGTCCGACGCGAGAGCGCGCAACCTGCATCATTTGTGAAGAAGTCCCGCGCGAGAGCACCATATTTGAATACATTGAAGTGGGAGCAGCTGTTGCTGTAAACTGGGGACCAGGGGCGCAATTAGATGACACCTCGCCTTCCCCTCAAAAAACAGGGTGCGAACCCCCAGGAGAAGCACTTTAATTCAAAAAACCATGGTCACTGGGGAGGGGGGGTCAACAAAACACATTCAGTAGAAATGAGAACTCAACAACAGCAGCAACTACAACAGGAACCGTACCACAAGCATGTCAAGGGACCCTTAACACAAGCAACAACAGACAGACAGACGGACAGACAGACAGACAGACAGACAGATAGAGAGATAGAGAGAGAGAGCGGCCATTTCCTCCTGCCACTTCCCCCCTCTGTGTTGTGGACTGTTGGGTGAGCAGCCAGCCCCCCTACCCTTTCCTCTTCTCTGAGGGCTCCGTACTACAGCAGTCCTTACGCATGATTCCTTACTAAAGGCATCCTTATCAGGAACCCCAACGAAAGGAAGGAGTCGTAATGAATCCTTGCTACAAAGATCCTTCCTGCGGGGCCCCAACGAAAGGAAGGAGTCGTAATGAATCCTTGCTACAAAGATCCTTCCTGCGGGGATCCTCCGTGCCGGAGAATTATCATCGAACTCCCGTGCCCACGCCTCTTGCCAATGGGCTCGAACTCCATGGATCATGCTCGGGAGGTCTTGCTTATCCTGTCGGTTGGCTGTCCTCTAAGATAGCCTCAGACTGTCAAGATCCACTCCAAGATGTCGTAGTCTGTGCCACGATGCTGGAGGAAGAGGAAAGGGGGAAGAAGATGAGAAGGGGTATGAGGCGTGAAACTGCCCAATTCTCGTGTGACAGAACCCCTACTCCACAATGGCCTGACCCCCAGCCAGGACCCCCTGGACCACCTGGTCGGGAGGGGGGTCCTGTCTGGGGCTCTCGCCATCGCTCGGACGTCCATTCCCCGTGCACCTTTCGGTTTCGTGCGTACGTTTTTTCCGCAAGAGGATCCCAGATGCTCCTCGATGGTCCCTGCCAGGAAGAAACGCACACGTCCAAGCGACGCCAAGGGTTGTGGATGCCATGACAATGGACACTCACTCTAACAATCCTATCATTGAGTTAAAGATGAGTTTAAAATGTGTAAAACATGTTCTAAAACTATGTCAAACATGTTTTTTACATGTTCTGAAAAATGAGACACCTTTTAGACATCTGGAAATTATTTGGCAGCACGCTTCCTCTCCATTAATCGACTTTCACAAGCCAAAGGGTTAGGGTGGGTTGTGCTGTCCTTGCACCCGGGCCCGACAGAGGAGAGCTGTCCGCCTCCGACGCCCCATCGCCGCCTCGCGCGGGGTGACTTTTATTGCGGGAGCGATGCCATGTCAGGACAGGCTCGGGATACGCTCCAGGATTTCCAAGAATATCTAGCGGCCCTCGTTTCTGCAGCCCGTGTGCAACACTAGGGCGTCCGGGATCGCCTGGACAAATCCTGGACAAAATCCTGGAACGCACCATCATCGTCGTGACCTCTTGGCCCTCCGATTACTCGCGGCCTACATGCCGTCGGCAAGCTTCTCTCGGAAGACCTCTTGGACCGTGCTGGCGTCCAGGGGCCCAGAGTCGTACAGGCCGCCGATCCACCTGCGCACGCCGGGGCAGATCTCTCTGCGCACGGCCAGCTGGATCTCCTCCCACTGCTGGACGGAGTCGGCGAAACCCGCCGCCACGCAGTCGGCGGGCTCCACGATGTTCTTGTACCCGAAGCAGACGTAATCGGGCAGCAGCAGTGCGCAGCCCAAACTCTTTGCGACATCAGACGCGCCTCCGGAGCCTCCAGTTCTGCAGGCCTCCGAGCCTGGTTGCATGATAAGCGACCCCGGACCAACGAAAGCATGACTGCCCATGCTGGACATAGATCGACTTCTCTCTGTCTCCATATATTTAGATGGTTCATTCTGAACCACGCCCGCATTTCAGAGCGAGGGGGGAAGGAGAATGAGGCATGCCACCCCATGACAAAAACCCTTGCCCCGATTTGTGGCCACCGCGATCGCCGCGGTGACCTCCAAAACAGACCCGAAGGTTTGGTTCGGGGTCTGATATCACGCAACGAGAGCCTTTGCCGTCTGCGGCGCAGGTCTCAGAGGAGACGTCCTCAGTGCCGAAGATGGCATTGTTCATCGTCTCCCGTGGTTCGAAACCCGACCCAGATCCAGAGTAGCCCGTGTCTCGGCACGACCTGTTAAAAGGACTCAATTGCCGATTGATCATCATACCAGCAAACTCCCACCCTCGCTCAAAGGACTCCAAATGACAGACAAAATCCAAAGGGCCTGCCGCATCAAAAAACACATTGGCTTGCGCCACTTGTGGGAAAATATGCCGCCATAAGAACTCTGGTCGCATGCCAACCTTCAAGAAATCCAGCACGAACTGCTTGGCTCGAGCAGACGAATTCACCGCGTCATCCCAAAACGAACAGCCTACGCAAGCCCTCTTGGCCTGACCGACTATGTGGCCAGGTCTGTACCTCTCGCGTTGCTGCGGGCTGTGCAGAACGAAATCGTAAAAAAAGTACGGCTCCCCAATCGTGAAGTAATACTCGATCTCGGAATAACCGGAC